CCGCAGAGGTAAGCTACCCTGTGTCGTACCCTGGCTAAAGTTACCCTGTGTCGTGACTAGGTATACTGTACTAGGACTTAGCTCCAGGTACCAAGTTCAAGTTATTCACATATATCTATATGTTATGTAACAGTTCATAGCTCCCAGTACCATGTTCAGGGGTTTCATATATTACGTAGCAGTTAGAGGTTAACGGATACATAGACAAGTCTCACTGTAAAAGGACTCAGCTCTAAGTACCAAGTTAAAGGGTATGTGTCATTGCAGGTTATTGAATGTATCAAAGTTTCTTGAATACATTGTCCATATACCACAATACGTTATTTCTGGTGTTCGTTAACACCTTTGCCGACTGTTCGCCATTGAGTTAATTAGGTGAAAACTAAGGTTCCAAGTTCTACTTACTAGGTTCTTCATGTATCGACTCAACTACAGGTTGGTTGTAGTAACTAGTACTAGTTCGCATATTCCAGTCTTTAAAGCTTCGACCACCAATTGTCTGTCATTAGGCTCAGGATTGTTTAAGCTGGGCCCGTACAGTATAGGTTAAAGTATAGGTTCAGGTATACGTATAGGCGGGTGGAATACATCCTCAATCAATTTTTGGCTAGATATGTTACAATGTTTAAACTTTCTCTGAGACAGGATATGTCTACTTATTCTAACCGTTGAGTTATAATGTTTAAACTTCTCTGAGACAAGATTTGTCTACTTATTCTACTGTTGACTAATGTCGACGCTGTTACTTTTATCATGCTCGTTTGATTGTTTGTGCCAGTTAATAAAGGTTACTGGTATTCCCACCAAGATTAGAGTCGTTGTCAGTGATGGATCAGTTTATTTATAATATAACGGCCGGGAAGGGAGGCATAAATTCATTTTCGTGAAAAAGGAAAATAAGCATTTACTTCAATATCAAAACAGCTACAGTAAAAATAAATAATAAGACGTGCATCACCGCGGACATAATGGCACACCACATGCGAAATTACACAGAAATGCGACGTACAAAAGAATGCGTTTTGGCTGCGAACATCTTCCAAAAAACTTACCATCTCTTAAGCACGGGCAAAAACATCTGGAATCACTTATTGGCCTCTCACCATATCTGCCTGAAGTCCCCCCCCCCACTGCTATTCCAAACAACGGTTTTTTCTGGACCATTTCAATTTGCCTCATAATTGTAGAGGTGCGTCTGCAATATTACATTGACCGCGAAAACAGCAACGGCAAAAATACACATTCGTGCATCAACACGGGCATGCCCGCAGACGGCGTATAAAATTGCATACCGATTACACAAAGAGAACCCAGTGTTTTGACTGCGAACACGAAAAAACAGCTCTTCACAACACTCCGTCCGGAGGTCCTGACCTCCTTCACGGAGTACAAGCCCTTAGCAGAACCAAGCCCACACCACTTGTTCATGGCATTACGAGCTATAGTCTGGTGGCAGAGACCGATAAGCGTGCAATGCGGTCCATACAAAGTTTTTTTGTTGTTTCTATATCTCTGAGGTGTGCTCTTTCAGAATCTGAATGATGCCACTCTGTCATCCTTGGGCAATTCGCACAATATGCAAATTAAGGCGGCCATTACTGAAACTCCAGTTTTCGTCAATATCTCAGTAACTACTCATGGTATCAGAATAATTTTGGTGTCTATCCCCATCTTTTGAGGGATAACGAATTAAATTAAGCCATTTCAGTAAAGATAGAACCATTATTTTTTGCTAAATATGCAAATTTGGGCCGCGCAATATGCAAATTAGGGCGGCCATTACTGAAAATCTGTTTTTCGTCAATATCTCAGTAACTACTCATGGTATCAGAATAATTTTGGTGTCTATCCCCATGTTTTGAGGGATAACGAATGGAATTAAGCCATTTCAGTAAAGATCAAACCAGTTTTTTTGTGCTGAATATGCAAATTAAAGCCGCACAATGGGCAAATCAAGGTGGCCATTACTGAAAATCTGTTTTCCGTCAATATCTCAGTAACTACATATGATATTATAGTATCTTTGGTGTCTTTCCCCATGTTTTTTGGAATAACTATTGAGGATAGGCCATTTCAGTGGAGATCAAATAGATATTTTTGTGCTTAATTTGAAAATTTAGGCCGCCATTACTGAAAATCTGTTTTTCGTCAATATCTCAATAAATCTCATGGTATCAACAATACTTTTGATACAATACACATACATTTGTACTATACACATGTTTTGAAGGCTAGATATTTAGAATAAACCATCCCAGTATTGATCACACCAAAATTTAATGCAAATTATGCAAAAACTAACCAGTATATAGCATGGGCGCCTGTACCTCTGAACACTGATAGGAATGTTAATAAATGATACAATCTGTTCAAAAAAATATTAGACCCTTCATAAGCTCACACCTGTGCCTTACCAGCGTCTGTGTACAGGCAGAATAAAGCGCTAACTTGACGTCCTGAATTTTATGTCAGCGTGGCCCGCGTAGAATTTAAGTTGAATTCTTCTTGAGTCCCGGACAGGCCAAAGAAAAATAGCCCGGTAGCCGCGGGGTGTCCCACGGCTGAAAGTGTCAAAAACAGCCCGGGAACTACCCGCCAGGGACTTTTTTTTTACAATTGGGACAAAAGCTTAACAGATCTCCAGGAAGATGACCGGCGGCCGCTCAAAAGTGCACAGTCCTAATTAAGGCGGAGGATGGGACCCTACCACTGTCTTAGGGGGAGGACAAGCTTGTCAGGTGGGCAGAATACTTTTCAAAAAGTCTTAAACCGCTCAAGCCATACCTCAGTAGCATTAGTCTTTGATGAACACCTACACCCATTACCTGTTGAGATCGAGGACATCTCTGAAGCTGAAGTCAGTCACCAGGCATGAATGGCATCACTTCAGAGATGCTGAAAGCCGAGGGTGACTGTGTTGTGAGATGGATGCTTTTCTGATCGCCGTACATCGCAAACGCTTTAATAGAACCATAGCCGTCTTCCCTAGTACGCCTTCCCTGGAATAAAGCAGGCATTCAACGGCGATCACAGGGAAGTGCTGGAGGACTGGAAGAACGGATCAGTAGTTCAGCTGGAGTCACATGTGAAACGGGGCCTGCTCGGCATGTTCTCGGTGTAGACGCCGGCCGGCGTCATGAAGCCATTGCCTTCCAGGTCCCGTTCCGAATTCGGTAGTGCCAAAACACAGGCCAAAAACGAGACGGGCGGGCCCCTTTCTTGAATTGTGACATACCATTAGGATTAAAGTGTGTATTCCAAAGAAGGGAAACCTGAATGAATGTGATAACTTAAGGGGAGTGACAATTCTTTTTTATACAAGTGAAGGTGTATGCCAAATGCCTCCTGAACCGCATGAGAGATGCAGTAGGCAAGGTCTTCTGGGAGCTGCGAGCAACAAGCTAGCTTTCGCTCAAAGAGATCCTGTGCTGAGCAGATCCTCACCCTGCGGTTGAGAAAATGTGCTGAACTGCAAACCCCCTTTAGCTATCAGATTCTATTTATTTCTGCAAGGCGTTTGATAGCATCTAAAGTCCCTCTTTATCGTGTACAGTTATGGACTGCCAAGTAAACTTATGTATGCAGTTAAACAGACACTGTGAGATATACTGAAACTCGAAGTGTTGTGTACGGACGGTTGAAGGAATCTAGATACAGCTGGTGGTTTGAAGACGGATCCTCCAAGATTGTGTTCTGTCACAGATCCTCTTTCCCGTGGCTATCGACTGGGTACTTGGGAAGCAACAGGAGAAAAGGGCCGGGGGTAAAGTGGGTTCCAGAGACAAAGTTTGCCGACCTTGACTTTGCAGACGACATTGCGGAAAACGCCAGAGATCTCCAACCCCTAGTGACCAACATAGCCCGTCTGCAGGCAGCATTGGGCTCAGCATCAGGGCCATCAATTAACATGCTGATAGGGACACACGCTCCTCTTAGAAATGTGACCATTGACGAGAACAAATTGAAAGTGGCGGAGAACTTCACCTAGCTTGGGAGCTCCACCAACAACAAAGGACAGATGGACAATGAGCTAGACTGTAGACTTGGAAAGGCCTCAGCAGCCTTCAACCAGCTTGACTTTGAAACCTACTATGTGGAAATCAGCCAAGAAAAGAGACTGGAATCACTGCATGCTTCTGATAGTGAATGCGTGAGGAAGATCTTAAGCATCAGACGACAGGACTTCATACTCAACACAGATATATGAGCCAGAGCTAACCAACAGCCAGTGTCTACAATCATACGCAAGCGGCGTTTCATGCTAGAAGACGTCTGCCATCTAGACGTAGGTAAACTTGTCTTTCAATATTGAACAGGTTTTGGGTCAGATAAACTATACCAAGGCATGTGCGTTTGCATGGAACATGGGTCGGAATTAGGACCCCTCCTTGCTGGCAGCCAGGTGCGTCAATAACAGACAAGGCCCAAATTTGCATATGTAGCAAAAAATAATGGTTCTATCTTTACTGAAATGGCTTAATTTAATTCGTTATCCCTCAAAACATGGGGATAGACACCAAAATTATTCTGATACCATGAGTAGTTACTGAGATATTGACGAAAAACAGATTTTCAGTAATGGCCGCCCTAATTTGCATATTGCCACCCAAATTTGCATATTTAGCAAAAAATAATGGTTCTATCTTTACTGAAATGGCTTGATTTAATTCGTTATCCCTCAAAACGTGGGGATAGACACCAAAATTATTCTGATACCATGAGTAGTTACTGAGATATT